AAGAATTTTACACTTACTCAATAGATTTATCTCACGCTGTATGATTTTGTTACGTTATTTTTATTTTTATTTCAATTTCTGAAAAAGAAAACTGCTAAATCCACCAAAAATCAAGTATAAAAATAATAGAAAAATTGACAATATAATTTTTATTTAAAAGGTATCAATTTTTATGAAACAGAAAGTATATCATCAAGATTAATTCAATCTTACGTCATAGCTATATAAAAATATTACAACTGAGAATGATAGTAAAACGCAAACACTGTTTATCCATTTCAAATAAAAGAAATTAAAATAAAATACAAACAATTGTATTATCATTAATGACATTACTCGTGCGATTGGACTAACGTGAGAAATTATTTATAATCTATTTTATAACAGTTTAATACGTGTATATCCTATATAAAGTATGGTTTGTTAACAGTTGAGATTAGCTTAAACTTTCTCACAGCAGATGAGTGTCTTCAATAATTAACATGAATTCTAACTTAATCTCTAACGGTTTATAACTTTACTTGTACAACAAATGCTGAAAGTACAAAAATTACTATTTCAATTGAAATTGAAATACTGTTCTCAGCCTTCATCAACGTCTCTTTAACAAAACAAATAAAACTCGAAAACAAGTGATATCATGTAACAGCATTTTTCAATAGTGCGATAATTAACCGCGATTTTCTATTTTTATCTAATACTATACGTTTTAGTAAACATTAAAATCAGTCTATACTGATCGAATACTCGAAATTTATTGATCATGCGTGACCTTTTCAACTAGTGAGTGGGAAATGCAATGCTGACAAAATAGAATAATTAAATTATGTAACACACCAGATTAATAACATTAATAAAATATTTATTTACTTAATTAATATACAGGGTGGCCCATTTTAAGTGATCCACTCAGATATCTAGATTGGAGTGAGTTTTATGGAAAAAAGTTTCAGACAAAAGTTACTCAACTTTGAGGGGGCCATGTTTCTATGACCTTGGATTTGACCTTGAAGGTCATGTTCAAGGTCATTTCAAGGTTAACTTTGTTTTTTTAAATAGGAACTCCCATTTTTGACCCCGGATTCGGAAAGAGCGGGAAATTTTACGTCCAAAACGGTATTTTTAAATTTTTTTTCATGGCCTAGAGAAGGTCGATTTAAGGTCAAATGCTTGAAAAACTGCCTAAAAGCGTTTTTTTAATTTTTAAGATATCGAAAAATGACCTCTACAAAATTTGTTCAGAACAGAGTGGGCCACCCAATGCACCAAAAACCTTTGACCTTTAACCTCATTTTGAAGGTCATTTCAAGGTCGAAGTGTTTTTTGTAATGGAAATCCCTCTTTTTGACCCCGGAATCGCACATAGCGCGAAACTCAACACAATACCTTATCCAAACGTCGGATTTCGCGCTATGTGCGTATCCGGGGTTAAAAAGAGGGATTTCCATTACAAAAAACACTTCGACCTTGAAATGACCTTCAAAATGAGGTTAAAGGTCAAAGGTTTTTGGTGCATTGGGTGGCCCACTCTGTTCTGAACAAATTTTGTAGAGGTCATTTTTCGATATCTTAAAAATTAAAAAAACGCTTTTATGCAGTTTTTCAAGCATTTGACCTTAAATCGACCTTCTCAAGGCCATGAATAAAAATTTAAAAATACCGTTTTGGACGTAAAATTTCCCGCTCTTTCCGAATCCGGGGTCAAAAATGGGGGTTCCTATTTAAAAAAACAAAGTTGACCTTGAAATGACCTTGAACATGACCTCCAAGGTCAAATCCAAGGTCATAGAAACATGGCCCCCTCAAAGTTGAGTAACTTTTGTCTGAAACTTTTTTCCATAAAACTCACTCCAATCTAGATATCTGAGTGGATCACTTAAAATGGGCCACCCTGTATATGATATACAGGGTGATCAAAAAGTTCCGGGACACCCCAGTAAGTCCTGAGATATAACTATTTCCGAGGAGATTAAGGTCATTCCTGTAGTAACTTTGAACGAGGAATCCAGTGGTGACCTTGGTTTTGACCTTGAGCTTGACCTTCAAGGTCATTTCAAGGTCAACTTTTTTTTTCAAATGGGAAACCCTATTTTTGACAACGGTAATCGAAAGAGCGGGAAATTTTACGTCCAAAACGGTATTTTAAAAATTTTTTTATGGCCTTGAGAAGGTCGATTTAAGGTCAAATGCTTGAAAAACTGCCTAAAAGCGTTTTTTTAATTTTTAAGATATCGAAAAATTACCTCTACAAAATTTGTTCAGAACAGAGTGGGCCACTCAATGCACCAAAAACCTTTGACCTTTACCCTCATTTTGAAGGTCGTTTCAAGGTCGAAGTGTTTTTTGTAATGGAAACCCCTATTTTTGACCGCGGATTCGCACATAGCGCAAAATCAGAAAGAAACATTCAAAACGCAGTGAGTGGAAAAAACTTATCCGGCAAAAAAACTGTACCTATGTCTCTGCTTGCTCCTCATTTAAAACAACTTGACTTTCGGTTTGGATAACTCGTTACGTTATTATTCAAACAATCAAAGGTGACCTTGAAATAACCTTAAAATGATCTTGAAGGTCAAAGATAAGGTCACTGTAACATGCTCCCAGTAGAATTTAATAAATTTAGCCCGAAACATTTTGTAAATGTTTCGCGAATAATATTGGATCTAACTTTCACATGACCTTAGCGATGAACGTCGTGGATCAATCGAAACTCAACATAATACCTTATCCAAACGTCGGATTTCGCGCTATGTGCGAATCCGCGGTCAAAAATAGGGGTTTCCATTACAAAAAACACTTCGACCTTGAAACGACCTTCAAAATGAGGGTAAAGGTCAAAGGTTTTTGGTGCATTGAGTGGCCCACTCTGTTCTGAACAAATTTTGTAGAGGTAATTTTTCGATATCTTAAAAATTAAAAAAACGCTTTTAGGCAGTTTTTCAAGCATTTGACCTTAAATCGACCTTCTCAAGGCCATAAAAAAATTTTTAAAATACCGTTTTGGACGTAAAATTTCCCGCTCTTTCGATTACCGTTGTCAAAAATAGGGTTTCCCATTTGAAAAAAAAAGTTGACCTTGAAATGACCTTGAAGGTCAAGCTCAAGGTCAAAACCAAGGTCACCACTGGATTCCTCGTTCAAAGTTACTACAGGAATGACCTTAATCTCCTCGGAAATAGTTATATCTCAGGACTTACTGGGGTGTCCCGGAACTTTTTGATCACCCTGTATATCATATACAGGGTGGCCCATTTTAAGTGATCCACTCAGATATCTAGATTGGAGTGAGTTTTATGGAAAAAAGTTTCAGACAAAAGTTACTCAACTTTGAGGGGGCCATGTTTCTATGACCTTGGATTTGACCTTGGAGGTCATGTTCAAGGTCATTTCAAGGTCAACTTTTTTTTTCAAATGGGAAACCCTATTTTTGACAACGGTAATCGAAAGAGCGGGAAATTTTACGTCCAAAACGGTATTTTAAAAATTTTTTTATGGCCTTGAGAAGGTCGATTTAAGGTCAAATGCTTGAAAAACTGCCTAAAAGCGTTTTTTTAATTTTTAAGATATTGAAAAATTACCTCTACAAAATTTGTTCAGAACAGAGTGGGCCACTCAATGCACCAAAAACCTTTGACCTTTACCCTCATTTTGAAGGTCGTTTCAAGGTCGAAGTGTTTTTTGTAATGGAAACCCCTATTTTTGACCGCGGATTCGCACATAGCGCAAAATCAGAAAGAAACATTCAAAACGCAGTGAGTGGAAAAAACTTATCCGGCAAAAAAAACTGTACCTATGTCTCTGCTTGCTCCTCATTTAAAACAACTTGACTTTCGGTTTGGATAACTCGTTACGTTATTATTCAAACAATCAAAGGTGACCTTGAAATAACCTTAAAATGATCTTGAAGGTCAAAGATAAGGTCACTGTAACATGCTCCCAGTAGAATTTAATAAATTTAGCCCGAAACATTTTGTAAATGTTTCGCGAATAATATTGGATCTAACTTTCACATGACCTTAGCGATGAACGTCGTGGATCAATCGAAACTCAACATAATACCTTATCCAAACGTCGGATTTCGCGCTATGTGCGAATCCGGGATCAAAAAGAGGGATTTCCATTACAAAAAACACTTCGATCTTGAAATGACCTTCAAAATGAGGGTATTGGTCAAAGGTTTTTGATGCATTGAGTGGTCCACTCTGTTATGAACAAATTTTGTAGAGGTCATTTTTCGATATCTTAAAAATTAAAAATACGGTTTTAGGCAGTTTTTCAAGCATTTAACCTTAAATCGACCTTCTCAAGGCCATGAAAAAAAATTTAAAAATACCGTTTTGGACGTAAAATTTCCCGCTCTTTCGATTACGTTGTCAAAAATAGGGTTTCCCATTTGAAAAAAAAAGTTGACCTTGAAATGACCTTGAAGGTCAAGCTCAAGGTCAAAACCAAGGTCACCACTGGATTCCTCGTTCAAAGTTACTACAGGAATGACCTTAATCTCCTCGGAAATAGTTATATCTCAGGACTTACTGGGGTGTCCCGGACCTTTTTGGACACCCTGTATATGCAAGCCCTAAAAACTAAGTTGAACATCAGAGTTAGTAAGAGAGAAATCAATGCGTGGCGCCTGGCATACCTTCCAAGTTTGCCAACGCAGTAGGCAAGGATACGAGTTCTCCTTACTAATTGTGACTCCACGGCTTTACTGGAGCACGTGGCCATATACCCGGGCTGTAATATACCAAGAAAAAGAAAAAGGAATAATCCACCGAATATATAAGTGACCAGAAAAGTCTTTCACGTTTGTAGTTGTTTTAAATGCATAGGCTCAAATTGATTGAGAGAGCGACGACGAGGTACGTATAGCGATACTAGCTTTAAAATGTCTCGATACGTACTGAATTATTAGTAAATGAATATGGATGTCAGATAATATACTGAACGACTGTCAGTGAATTAGTGTAATTTTACTAATGTAATATTATGTTCATATTTACCTATCAATTAATTTCGTGTTGAAGCATCTAGTTTCATCATAAAGTTCCTCTAATCTTCGAACGTAAGCATTAACTGAATTTTGAATAACAAGAGCCACTTCACCATAATGAATTTTTCCTGCTTCGGGTAATAACGCTGAATATTCATCTAATATCTGAAAAACTCAATCTTCTTATAAAAAATGGAATCAAGAATTCCAGTTATTTTTGAATAGAATTAATTCAAATGAAACAAATTAGGAAAATTTAACGTGCGTTACTAAATTTTCATTTTTATTACTTATATAATAGCTATTCTGCCATTTTTAACGCTGAAAACTAAAATAGTAATTTTTTGTCGTCAGCATTCACTTATGAACAATACATTGCAATTATACAATTTGAACAATCTGTACTATTAAAACATTGATAGCATTAGTCGAGAAGAATGCTCAATTTTCGATTAGTAATAAACTATCTTCAGAGAAATTTCGATATTTATATCTTGTATGATCAACTTACTCAAATCTTAATGAAACTTAATGAAATATTCTAATTCTGAATAAATCGTAACTAAACTCACGATCACGAACTTGTATCGGAACTTATACATCTTATATAATCTTATATATTACGTCGATTTACAAGCTATAGTTATATATTGAGTCACTCTGTCTCGCGATGAAAATATATATGATAAACAGATCATTAATTATATTTCAATGTTCCATAATTTTTCTATTTGTATTATATACGAGTAATACAAATAACAAGTCAGCCTCAGAGTCACATTTATTCAAATGTTTTTAGTTTTATTCAATATTTCATAATAAAACAAAATGGCAAATATTTGTCATAAAAATGCAACTAAACTGAGTATAATTTGATAATTTGGATTTTAATCCAACTTCTAAATTTGATAAGAATAAAACTATAATTTTTGAATATTTTTTTCGTGTACGATTTTACAGAACTCTTATAAAAATATAAACAAATTTTTCTTAAATACAGAATGATGAAAAAAAGTTGACGTGTTTCGGAGTTTTCGCATAGTCTTTTATTTCGGGGGTGAACTACCCCTACTAATTTAGGAGCCAGGGGGGTTTTCGTAGCCGATGAACCTCCATGGAATTTTATAAACGTTTTCTATGTATTGAATCCGAATTTCGAAAGTGCAAAGTTGGCACCCTGGTAAGAAAATTGTTATTAACAATATAATTGTTTAAACGTTGATAACTTTTTTCCTAATTCACTCACAGCTACCGGACACAAATCAAATGAATCCTTAGTGAATAAGGAATAAGCTGAATTTTGCAGATTGAAAAAATATCAATTAGTTCCAAAGATATCGCCAATTATTTATAAAAAAACGGGGTCGCAAGAAATTTATTTGTTTAAATTGCTCTAACTTTGTTGCTAATAAAGTCACAGATCCTGCTAGCATGTTAATCGATTTTTTGTTACGTCAGGAATCTAATGCATTTCGAAAATTGAAAAAATTCAAAATAGAAACGAAAATATCGCATTTTTATTAAAGAAAAATGTCGAATTTTCATAAAGTGTAATTGTTTATACCTCTGTATCTTTTTATCCAAGAAGGTGCCGGGGATTGCATATATCACAAATCATAGTCCAATTCATACGGAACATGTGGAATTTTTCAAATTGTAAAAATGTTGAATAGAACCGGAGATATAGCGCATTAACTGAAGAAAAACGTATGACGGCGCGCTGAGAGCGCGCGACCCATGCAAAACAACCGCGGCGGTGTTCGCGCGCGTGCTCGCTCGCTTGCCATCTCAATATGCCTTATCGCTGCTATATAAGGTAATGCATTTTTTTTATAAATAATTAATAACAATACAATGATAATTTCCAACCACATAAATAGTTATCAAATAAATTATTATTATTATTAAAAAATATTACAATATTCAATAATACTTATCATTGATGGAATATAATCTCAAACAGAATTTTCCTTGTAAGGATTTTTGTACGTGTTTTCTTTTTGACATTCACAAAAAGTACAACATGGTATACCGTTAGCTACACATATACAAGTATTTGTAGAGCATACTTTACCAGAACAAGGAGGTAATTCATTCGTAGGCGGTAAAAAAGTATGAGCTTTTTGAGGCATAAGTAAATCATTATCTACTTTCCAACCGAATGACTCTGGGTTTAAAGTGAGAGCTTCCGTATTGAAACATTGAGTTTGAGTGTAAGCTACGTAAGTCGCTCGAAGTATGTGCAGTCTCATTGAATTACTTGTCGGTGGTAACTTTTCAATCGGCCTCTGTTGGTGAAAATGATATACGTAATCGCGCAAGTCATCAAATGTTTTTAAATTTGTATTGAGAGTCCAAATTTTAACTAAAAACTCTTCAGCTCGTTCGATATCTGTGTTTATGGAAAATTCAGATAATATTTCTGCAAAAATTAGGTTAATTGAACAAACTTTCCGCTTCTGAAAAGATCATGTTATAATAAATATAATGAAGGAGACCTTCATTCACCTTGTCCAAAATGAAGTAAATATTCTATAGGATTTCCTTGCAATGATGAGTTTTTCGTTCCAACTCTGCTAGAGTAATCCGATCCTGTTAAGTGGTGTAAAGCAGGTAGTATGGAACAAAATGAATCTCCATGACGTTCAGCTAATATATGTAATGGGAGTTGTCTGACATATTTGCCTGAACCAGCTCTTACCCACAAGGTCTATGTATAAAAAAAATTAATATATAGGCATATGCCAATCCAAGTAAAGAATAACAGAATAGTTAAGGTACGTACCTTTAATCCGCTTTCTGAAAAAATCTTCAAAAAGTACAAGGAAAGAACAATGACATCGGTGTCGGATGAAATTAAATAAATATTTTTATAGCCTTGTAGTGAAGCGTGCTTGATATGGAGCATTATTTTTACATCAGCTTCTTCAATATCCATGCGCTGGAGTAATTGTGAATCTTGAGTTACAGTTGACGTTGCAAGTAATTCATTAATTGTATTAAATAATAATTGAAATCTAGAAAATCCTTCAGTTTGACTTAGAATAAAAGCTTTAAGAATCTCCTGTAATAATATTTTATTCTTCGAAGATCCCCAAAATGTTTCTTTTTGCTTAGGTAACTCGGTGTCTATCGTGACATTGGGATATACAATGACATCTGACTTATTCCTTCTAAGGTGCTCCGAAGATTTGATAGATTTCTCGAAGTACGAATCGAATACGAAGTCGATTCTTTCTGTAATTTGCTCGCTAGCTTTATGCAATACAAAATTGCAAAAGCCCCTAGCAAGATTTTCAAATTTACCTTCCCACTTCAACTAGTGTAATACCAACATGACATCGACAACTAAACATGTAGGAATTGCAGTTTTCACAAAAAGCCTTTCATCGTTTGTTAATACTTCTTCAATTGTTTTCACTAGTGAGTTTTTATCGTCCTGCTTGTATAAGGCCATTACTGTCGAATAAGGGATACTTGGTCATGAGTTCATATCGAAAAAGTGATATCAAAGGATAATTTCTTACGTTTGCCAAAGCAACATACCTTTGAGCATCGCTTGCTGTTAATTCTTTTTCTTTCTTCGACTTCATTTTGTCTTGTTTAATTACACTTTTGAAGTTTGTCAGATTAACCTTTTTCATAGGATCTATGAGAGCTTTGGTTTTTAAACGAAGTCTCTCATTCTTAAAGGGTTCAAATGCGTCAATGCCCTTTTCAAAAATAGAATTTCTTTTGCAACTTCCGGTTGCACTGGCTGATTAGTTATGATTGTTTTTAACGGTTGTGAACCAGGCATGAACGGGTTACAATTTTGCTCCTCTAGGAAACGTAAAATTTTCTCGACTGCAGTTTCAGACGACGAAACAGCCGATGGAGAAAATTAATGATGAACCTGTAATTCTTCGTTATCGTTGCTAAACAATGTAATTTCTTTTAAGTAATTGACAATAGACCAGTATTCGTGGTGTGTTACACCCCATGCAGCCACTATTTCTTTTTTTGGGTAAATCCAATTACACCATGTGGACTTTTCGCCAAGCGATTGATCGACTGTTCAATTTTGTGGTCATCACTCACAAAAGAAAAGGAAAAGAGTGATTCTTTGACAGTAAATTGTCCTCTCATAAACTACTCGAAAACTTCTGGGGCATTTTGTTCTAATAAAAGCATATCTTCTAAATATTGGGCACACCACTTAGCATAATTTGTTCTATCCAAATTGTGAAAAATTGGAAGTAATTTTCGAATGGTGTCCAAGTATAAAAGCCAGTCACCGGTGCAATCAGCACGAACAAGCGCGAACATTAAGTCTATCAAAATCAACACACTATTCAAATACTTGAAAAGCTCCGACTCAGCACATTGACGTTCGACAAAATTATGAAATTCTTCTAACAGTTCGTTGCATTCGCCTTGGAACTCATCGAGGAAGGATTGGCTTTCATGAAAATTTTTTTCAGCAAAGCTTTCTTGGTTGCAAATAATTTTCACAATAATATTATCATATTCTGCTAATCGCTCTTGTGTAAAAAATTCCTTAAATTGCAGTCGTCTTAGTGTCTCCATTATATAACCAAAACATTTACTGCATCTATGGTAGTGTTTACCGTTTCTCACCGAATATTACTAATTGTAAAATCCTATTCGCGTTCGTTAGTCTTTCGGCCCAACAAAGACTGTAGTGATTTTTTTTTTTAATTAAAGTCTGTTAAATTTATTCGCTGTTTTCGTCATTTGATTTTCCTGGTAGCTTAAGTATTTGAAACAGGCTTAGGTTTTAATCCAATTACGTCTAGGGGATTAAGAAGATTAGGAGTAAAGTCGCTCACACTTAAAACTCATCAAGTGTAACAAGACACGTGACTTAAGGTGAGTTCAACTCCGATCAATTGAAGATAACTAGGATAAATCATCTGACGTTAAGGCGAATACACGTATTATCATACGTGTTTAACGGAGCGGCGGTTTGCTCTGCATCGTGGGAGTTTGTTCTTAAATAAATTTTCCATTTTTCAGATAACTCGTATTCCAACTTCCGGCTCACTTTATTATTAATGAAGAAAATAAGGCGGTAACTGTCGAAGAATATATGCGTAGCTTGCGTAAAGAAGACTTAGCATGGTTACTTTCCAGAATGAAAATAGAAAATGAAGAAGTCAGTT